ATTGTTGTGCGTCAGTCGGACCATAACAAAACGTAGGTGCGCAAGCTAAGTCTAGTTGTGATTTGGCCACTATACTGTACAAACTTAGATAATGTATTTGGCCTAAACTCTTGAGTTTGTGTTCCTATGAATTTTGTTGTATGTCACATATATAAGTACAAGAGTTTTCATCGAGGGTTTGAGTTTATAAATAACTCGATGTCTGAAGTTTGTTTATGTGCTTTATTAGTTTTTCTTTGGTACTTCAAGACTATTAAGTAAGGGTCAGCTAATCAAGAAAAGTCATAGGGCGGGATCATTTCGGCATATAGCTTTTCTGAAATGCAACAACCCAATGCAACAAATATATCTTAGACATTTTTTTCTATAAGTAGTTTATCAGTAGTGTAATTAATTATTATGATTAGGGGATAAACTTCATAAGACTAGTGAGTCTAAGGCTACAGTTGTAATTTCCTAAGAAAATACTAGTTCTCTATAGCCAATAGCTCTTATACCAATCTGTCCAACCCCGACCGAAGGCGGAAATGTCGAGCTTGTGCAAATTCATCATGGTTCATAGTTATCGATACATTGAACAATACAAAATTATTACACAAATGTTATTTTTATTACAAAATATATTACATATCATACGAAGAATTTAGAATACATTAAAGCAAAAATTACAAGTAGTGCTTAATCAGATAAGTACAATAGAGATAAAGAGTGCTTCGAGGATCCTATGAATGTTTCCCAAAAGATTGAAATGACCGACTCTTATTTTCCTGAGAATACATATGATTTTAAGAATGTTAACATAAAGTTAGTGAGTTCACATGTTTATATAATTATATCAATGTATTTTTTATTCAAAAAATTATAGATATAAGTATTTTCAAACTTATATTATATGCGTACTTTATTTCCAAAAATACTTGTTGTATCATATATAAGTATTTTCAAACTTATATTTTATTTACTTTTAGGCATGATTATTAATGTTACATGAGTTCCCATAATCGAGATATTGATGAGTTGTTGCCCCTCACGACGCTTCATTGGACGTGGTAGTGTTTAGAAAGTTATCACTCGTGACATGACCGTCGAAGGTTATAGCTAGGAACCGCAGGTGGGGGTCTCAGCCTGTATAGATCTATACATAACTCTCTCACTCACTTATGATTTAACAATTATAGGTAGGGGACTTTGGTAAGTATTAAACTTAGGTGATGAACGTGTCTCATGTAAACCCTTGAATGAGAAGCACTAAAAGTTGTAGTCTTTTAACCATACATGTTAATGTTTACCGGTTTATGTTGTATAATTATAAAAAGGTTTTTATAATTATATTGTTAAATAATTTTGTAAAACTTAAATAGGCAGATTAAAAGCAGTGTGTAATAATTTATTCATAGATTAACGACAATGCATAATATAATTTTATATTATATAGGCAGAGTAATGACAATGCATAATATAATTCATATTATGTAGGCAAAGTAATGACAATTCATAATATAACTCATATTATGTGGGCAGAGTAAGGACAATGTTTACTAAATTTATATAAGCGGCAATTTTAACCGTAAATTGTCATAACGGTTATATAACTAAATAACATAGGCGATATACACAACTTACGATTTATATAAACATATATATAAAAAATATATGTATTCTCCCCCCGAAAATGATAAGAAGTTTAAAATGTGGCCATGAAACTCACTCTAGTAGCGTGATTTGATAGAATCTAACTAGAAATGGTCAGCGGTTTGTGATCGTTAGGCTCGGGATAAGGAATGCCTTCAGCAAACAAGAGAGATAAAGGAAATTTGATGTAATGAAAGCAAGGGTCGAACTAGCTATTCAAAGGATGTCCAAGGAGTTCTCATGTCGTGAGAATAACATGCTCGTCCCATGAGCCCTTGCTGCATCACCTAGAAGGTGTCCGGATAACACCTCACATCGTGAGAATGACATGCTCACGTTGTGAGCCCAAAACATATCACTCCATAGACTTTCCATTTGTATTCTAGCCTTGAGAAGTGTCTTGGAGCACTCTCATTGTAATGCCTGTGTTTCTGGGCTTTCCATTTTTAGCAATGTAATAGTTTAGGTTAACCTTAGTAACCCAATTTGAAATAATAAGAACGTGTTATTTGAATATTATGTGTTTCGTGCATAATTGATTAACTATGTGATATGATTAATTAAGAATAAAATGAGCGTCAAAATTTAAGTGTAAAATAAACTTGATATCTTTGGATAATGTTGTAGTAGTTGAAATGAGGTTTCCGAATATATAAAGAATGCCAGAATCCGAGTTATAACGAAGAAGTTATGACCCGTCGAAGTTTCGCGACACAACCAACAACGCTGAACGATGTAAAAAGTGAAATTTATGTTAGAGCGATATTTAGCCTTAGTAATCTAAACGAAAGTCATAGAGTTCATTAAACCGAGAGCGTGCATAACAAGAACGCCCACATCGTACTTCGTATGAGGAAGTTATGATTTTTCGAAGTTTCGACGTGACAGTATGCAGCCCGAATACTCGATTTGAGATCGAGCAGTTTTTCGCCGAAACAATCTAAATGAGAATTGAAGATCTCATTGTTAGTAGCGAAACGATGAGAAGTCAGGCGAGAACGGACATCGGACGAAGAAGTTATGAATTTATAACGAAGTTTTTCTGTCCCGGCCTCCTAAAAATAAATATTAAAAATAAAATTAAACTTACCCGACGGAGTCTAAATGAAAGTTGTAGAGTATGGCTGACCTACATGTAGATATAAAGAACGTCGAAAACAGAGCTCGTATGTGAAAGTTACGCAATTTAGAAGTTTGACGAGTCAAATTACGCTGAGGGTAATTTGACTACGCCCAGTGTACTCAGGAGGATGCAACTTGTCTGATCAATACTCGAGTGCCACAGATCGACGCATGCAGTGACGTCAAAGTACGCCCAGCGTAACCAATTTACGCCCAGCGTACCGAGTACGCCCAGTGTAATCCCAGACCCCCAGCTTATAAATAGAAACCAAGATCAGCCATTTTCTCTTGTTCAAACTCTTTCCTCTCTCTAGTTTTGCCTCGATTTGCGTGCCGTTTGTACCCCGAAGCCTCGATAATATTCCTGAGCCCCGAAGTAAGATCCGAAGCCCCAAGGATCCCGAAGAGCGTTATTCCTGAGCCGAAGCGCTGCCCGCGAGGAGCCGGTTTTTGTGAAGATCTTCCAGATCTACGGAGAAACACCTCGTCTGCAAGCCGTAGTGCTGCCCGATCATCTTCTGATTATGTGAGTGTGTAGTTATTTTCATTCCAACGCAATATTATAAAGTATTTTATATAAAATACGTGTTATGTGTATATATTTTGTTATTATATGTGTGAATGTATACTCACTCTCTTCTATCTCATAGATCTGATTTATTCTCTATGAAATATGTGTTATGTGTGTATGCCTCATATGTTATGTGGAATATGTATTGATTAAAGCATGCTATACAGGTTTTTAAACAATGTATAAAAATGTATATTTTTATCTACTACATTGGGTAGAACATGGGTAGATAATTGGTGTGTAATAAATAGATGAGAGGCATCGCAGTTATTGGTGTTATTCTAGTCATTCAGCAGAGTATGGATGACAACCACGGACTATTTTAGACTGTCCTGTGGAACACTAGCAGGCTCATTACCTGTAGGTGTTGTGAACGACGTGTTCACTGGTGTACTCTATCCCCCACATGGTTGCCTTTAGGACACTTATTGTTGAGGATGCCCCTTTGCAGTAATGTCCATCCCGATGAAAATCCCGAATTAGGTTCCTTATAATAGATGTTATTTTTAGGGACGTAAAGTGAGGATAACGAGAATGGGTAATCGGGTTTATTGTTGATTGTTGAATTAAATATAATTATTTATTGTGGGTTGAAAACCCTACATGCTCACCAGCCTCCCAAGCCTGGCCCACTCAGTTTATTTGTATTACAGGAAGTGGCGCAAGGGCTTAAGATGGGCGAATCATCAAGTTGTTTTGTTTACAAGTCTGTATGTGTATATATTTGTTGAATGACTTGTAATGTTATCATTTATACTTTATGATCTGTATCGGAACATGACATCCCGACTTTTGATTATGAAATGAAATCGTATTTCTTTACGAAATGTTTTGATAAATATCTATTTTATCATGTTTTGGTTTTGGGAACAAATTCCGCATCTCTTTTAAAATTAAAAGGATTTACTCTGAAAATGTTTAAAAAGCATAAATGAAACCGGTCTGGCCGTGATTTTGGGGATGTCACACTCATGTCACGAGAATACATGCTCACATGATGAGCTTTGACAGATTAGGGTTTTTGCCACGCGTCTTGCACTCAGACTGCTTGATCTTGGAAGATCATATCTTTTGCATATGAGCTCCATTTTTTACGTTCTTTATATCCACGCATAGATATTTCTGAGTACTAAAGCTTTCTATTTGATATAAATAGCTAATTCCCAATATATTTTAATTTCTTCTTATTTTAGAGACTTATAGTGTTAGATTTTATCATAACTTCTTTATGTGAAATCAGATTGAGGTTTTGTTAAAATATTTTGAAATTGTATGGATGTGTACTTTTGATTTATGCCATAAAGTATGTAGAAAAGTTCATATTTGTATTAGAATTTCCATGAACTACAAATTAAGTTTATAAAATTATTTGTTTCACATTATCACATGTGACTGTTGTTGATCTATGTTGACTGATGTTACACCCCCTCCCCCCATATGGAAAGTTACCAAAGATACGGTACTATATATATATATATATATATATATATATATATATATAATAGGAAATTATATGTATTATATATTATCTCTCATAAACATCTTCCTGTTGATGTCTTATCTAGGATATCGGAGCGGTATGGAGGATTTGTGGGACTGGGTGTTGCATCCTTACCCAGAAGAAGACTAAGTGGTATTGCACATGCCTGAGGAAGAGAGCGATTGCAATATAAAAATGCCCATACCACCTACCCTGGTATCTGCTAATGATGAGTTGTTCGAAGATGAAGAAAAGCCCATTGGGGAAGAGGAGCAACATGACGTAGTGTTCGATGTATTACCTATAGATAGTTCACCCTACCCAGATTCGTCTTCCTACCAGGACCTTGCAGAGACTCATGTGGAGGACCCTACCGAGTCAAAGTCATCCGTATAGATTATTGATCCACTACCCCCATCCTCGAGTCGATCTCTCAATCTTCACAATTTAGGACCCAGGACTATAACCACCCATAGAAAGTCCATTCGTGTTTCATCCTATAAGAGAGCAACCTCACCGCCATTATCATCGATATCATCAAAGAAGACATACCCCACCCTTAAATGGACTCCTGAGTTGGACGAGTGGATTAGGGAGGAGAGTAGTGGGTTTTATGATGTTAGATGCGATCACATTCCAGAGGATCCCATGGATAAAGTGATCTCAATATTAGTCTTGCAAGTAGTAGAACATAGAGATCGTATATGTCAGGTGGAGGATGATCGTGATTCGCTAACGAAGGAGATTAGATTAATAGCTGGTAGAGTTAAAGGTTTAGAGAATAGGAGGAACATAGACGAGATATGGATCCTTCATATATATGATCATTTGGAGGAGACCCATTATGTAGTGCAATATCAGTAGATTGCGATCAAGGGTTTAGAGCAACGTGTGGAGGAGTTGGAGTTGAGATTGTTAGTGTTAGAGATAGGTACAACCAGAATGGAGATTATGATTAGTTACCTGCAACACCAGTTAGTATAGATAGTGGATTGGATGGTGTTTTATTTTGGCTTGTGGTAGATAGTTCGAACTAAGGAAAGCTAGGAACTATAATTTTTGGGTTTAAGGGAGGTAAAACTAGTGTAGAAGATAATAGGATACTGCTATGTCTTTTGCTCATAAAATAGATGATTTTCCTGTTCAAACCACATCATTGTACCATTTTTGGGAAATCTGATGTAAGAATTTATGGAAGTTACTGAAAAATATGTGATATCGGTGTATATTATGTTACTTGTTTGATTCATTTTCATGATATAGTTAACTCTGTTAGATAAATTATCAAATTAAAACTTAAAAATTATCATAACAACTAACATATGCCATAAATTTAGAATCATGCCTCGCACCAGGAGAAACCAAGGACAACCCAAACCTATGAACTCAACCACGATTGAGGCATTAGTAGCCCTACGCATCAGTAATGCAATAGCAAACCTAAAATCCCATAGGAATGTAGGTTCGAGAGTCAATGGAGGTGAGAGTTCACGAGGAGATAACCCAGGTCCAGCTAGGGTCTGTTAATATAAAGATTTTATGAACTATAAACCAAAACCCTTCTATAGAAACGAAGGAGTAGTTTGTTTGAATAGGTGGATAGAAAAGATAGAATATGATTTTGAGATAAGATTTTGTTCGAAGGATTTAAAGGTTAAGTTTACTGCCTACACCCTGGAAGTCGCGGACATAAGCTGGTGGACCAGTTATACGAAGAACATGGGCCTTAATGTAGCAAATGACATGGCTTGGAACAAGCAAAATCAACTCATGATTGAGGAGTACTGCTCACTCAAGGAGATAGAAAAGCCAGAATAGATGCTATGGAATCCGATGATGAAGGAAGCTGACATTGTAGCTTATACAAACAGTTTCAATGACCTTGCGAGCTTATGTCCCAGGATGGTCATCCCATAATATAAGAAGATATAGAGGTATAGTTAGGGTTTGCCTCAGCCTATCCAAGGTTTATTCACTACCTTAAAGCTAACCACCTTCAATACCACAAAGAGACTAGCCTTTAGTCCAATAGATCAAGAGATTCATCAAGGTAGGATGGTCTGGAAGGCTGGCCTTCTGAAAGTGGAGAGCAGAAAGAGGAAGTTTGGAAAGGAATCCAAAAGGAAGTCTAGGCAACCAATAGAAAAAAGAAGTGGGAAATTGTTCAAGCATTTGCGGTTACGATAACCTCGAGAAGGAATACCGCTCGAAGTACCCCAAGAGGCAATGAGTGTGTGTTTCATTACAATGGTGCATGTTGGATTTGCACCAACTTCAGAAAGAGAGGTTATCTTGCTAACAGATGCAAAACCCCACCCAATCAGGAACCGCAACAATAGAAGGCCAAGCGTACTATGAAGGTAAGGAAAATAGACACATCAGGAAGGATTTACCAAAGTTAAAGCAACAAGGAGGTAATACTAGGAATATAGCATTTGTGATAGGAGCCAAAGAAACCATCCAAGATTTGACGATAGTTACGGGTATGTTCCTAATGAATGATTTATACGCAGATATACTTTTTGTTACCGACGCCAATGGAAGCTATATTACTCCCAAGTTTATGAAATTATTAAACCATCCATATAGTAAACTTAAGGAAGCCTATAGAGTAAAAATGACTAACGACCAAGTAGGTAGTACCTAAGACATACTTAGGAGTTGTACCTTAACATTAGAAAATCATGTTTTTCTCGTCAACCTCATGATTATGGTCAATGGATGTTTTGACACCATCATCGGTATGGATTGGTTATCCCCTAACCACATCAAAGTCTTATGCTTTCAGAAATCATTATATGTACCCCTACCAAATGGGGAACCCTTAATTGTTTATGGTAATAAACCAGACACAATTTAAGGATCATTTCCTACATGAAAGTCAGGAAAAACTTGCAAAAAAGAATTATGCTTTCTTAGCTCATATTGTCGACAGGAAAGACAATAAGAAGAAAAAGATCGAGGAAGTACCTCAGGTGTGTGATTACCCTGATGTATTCCCTGAAGATGTACCAGGTCTGCTACTAGCTCGACAAGTGGAGTTTGGATCGATCTAATTTCGGGAGTTTCCCCAATAGCAAAGTCTCCTTATAGATTGGCACCATCAGACATGCAGGAACTCTCTACCCAACTACAAGAAATTCTTGACAAGGGTTTTATTAAACCAAGCATCTCGCCTTGGGGAGCACCCATTCAATTTGTCAAGAATGATGGATCTTTTCGTATGTGCGTCGACTATAGAGAGCTAAAGAAGATGACCATTAATAATAGATATCCATTTCCCCGAATAGACGATCTCTCCGATCAACTACAACGGTCCAATTATTTCTCTAAGATCGACCTCATATCTGGATATCATCAAATTCGAGTCACGGAAGAGGTCATTCCAAAGACTACTTTTAGAACAAGATATGTCTATTATGAGTTTTTGGTCATGCCCTTTGGAATGACCAATGCCCCATATGTTTTTATGGATCTCATCAATCAAGTTTTTAAGCCCTACTTTGACAAATTCGTGATTGTATTCATCGATGATATTCTAGTATACTCCCGAACCAAGGAAGAGAGTCGGAACATCTTTGAGTACTCCTATAGATTTTAATAAAAGAAAAGTTGTATGAAAAATTATCAAATGCGAGTTTGGATTATAGAAGTACACTTTCTTAGGCAGGTGGTAAGCAATAGAGGTATTCATGTCGACCCTTCAAAGATTGAAACTGTGAAGAATTGGGAAGCACCTAAGACCCCAACAGAGATTCTTCATTTCTTAGGACTAGTAGGATATTATCTAATATTCATAGAAAATGTGTGACGTCCCTATTTTCACGGCCAGAAAAGACCGATTTTGTTTATGCTTTATAAAAATCAGAGTATCTCTTTTAATAAAAACGTTGTGGAATTTGTTTCTAGAAAAAAAACATGATAATTTATTATCAAAGCATTTATGAAGAAATGTATTTTTATTCATTTTAAAGAATTTGGGATGTCATTGTCAATACAGAAATATAAGCATAAATAGAACTTACATTCATTTACACTAGTGAGTCCTGTGCTTCCGGTAGTATATGCATCTACTACCTTTCACACCTATTCATACTCGTCCCAAGTACTGTCTCGCAGTCCCCAAGTCCTAATATCACAAAACAATTTTAACACATACAAATGTGTACAAACAATCATATAATTTTTCCTAGACTCTACTAGGACTTCTTCCATGCGTATCTTCAATCGTCAATTATTCTTCAACTTGGGTAGTGGTGGCAACACCATACGATGGAACAACTTCAGGAATTACACTAGTCATTCCATTATCCCAACAATTAAAGTGTACTTCAGACGTACCATACTCCTCTAAATGTACTGTCATCTTATCATACACATTCTAAAGGCTAGATACTACTCTTATGATATCTTCTGATAGGTGTCATTCACTATCATAAGCCTTTTCATTTCCTCGATTTACTCGATTCTCTACGAGTCTTCAATATGATGCTTTGTTTACGAAACTATGCATTCAGTGCATCAAGACGAGAAAATAGATAGAGAAGATTTAGATGTGTAATCCTCCTTATTACTTTGAAAAATTACTTGCCAGTTATAATATCGTAATTAAACATTTAGAAACCTGAGCACATAAAATTTCCAGATCCGATCGGCAACAGACCATAGATCTGATCAAACAATAACATCATAAATCATATAGGGCAGCATAGTTCACTTAGCACATAAGAGCAATTTATTCATCTTCCCTAAATAAGCTAATGCTTGGGTCAATTCAGATGTACGACCTAAAATATAAAAGACACACTCCTGACAATCATCGCTTAGCATTCTAAGTTTAAGTCTAGAAATAAATCCTTATTCCTAGTTCGCTTAAACTAATGCTCTGATACCAACTATGACATCCCCATTTTCACGGCTAGAAAAGACCGATTTAGTTTAAGATTTATAAAAATCATAGTATCCCCTTTAATAAAAACGTTGCGGAATTTGTTCCCAGAAAAAAAAAACATGATAATTTCATTATCAAAGCATTTCCGAAGAAATGCATTTTTATTCATTTTTAAAGATTTGGGATGTCATTGTGAATACAGAAACATAAGCATAAACAGAACTTACATTCATTTACACTAGTGATCTATATCTCCTTAATATCACAGTGTAATGTAACTTCACATCATCACCTGTGATACATGTAAACTAAGTGGGTCAGGTTGGGAATCCTGGTGAGTACATAGGGTTTTCAACCCATAATAATATAATTGTTATGTTTAATCATCAAACAATTAACCCAATTTCCCATCCCCATTATCTTCTTTATTACTAAGTACCTTCCTTAAGGATTTATCCTAAGGTGTGACATCCCAAAATCACGGCCAGAAAAGACCGATTTCATTTATGCTTTTTAAAATAATTTCAGAGTAAATCCTTTTGATTTAAAAGTGTTGCGGAATTTGTTCCCAAAACAAAACATTATAAAATAATATTTATCAAAGCATTTCATCAAGAGATGCATTTTCATTATATAATTAAAACTCGGGGTGTCATATTCCGATATAGACCATAAAGCATAAACGATAACATTACAAGTCATTCAACAAATATATACATATACAGACTTGTAAACAAAACAACTCGATGATTCATCCATCTTACACCCTTGCGCCACTTCCTGTAATACAAATAAAACTGATTGGGTCAGGCTTGGGAGCCTGGTGAGCATATAGGGTTTTCAACCCACAATAAATAAATTATATCTAATTTTACCAACCAATCACTATCCCGTTTACCCATTCCCGTTATCCTCACTTTACGTCCCTAAAACAACATCTATCTAAAGAGACCTAATCTAGGATTTTCATCGG